CTCGGCCAAATATTGTCCTATCCTAACAAACCATATATCAATGGAAAGCTTATTTCTTCAGCTTTTGATGTATAAATGGACCCTTATGACTGGTTTCGTGGTCCATGGTCACATTTAAGGTAAATGATAAAGGGCACAAAGAGAGTTTTTTTTTTTTTTTAAATGTTGGTTCTTCTCTTCATGAGGTGATACCACTTACAGGATTGTTTCCAGAACAGAATCCAGTCTTAGGCTGATTCAGAGAGGAAAAGGGTAGTTATGTAACCAGTAAGCAGTCATTTACTTCAAATGCCGTCACAAGCTGGGTTTTCACATGTTTCACAATATTCGTGAGGACATTTTCAAACATTATAGCCAAATACACACAGCTTCAGTACAAGCCGAATAAAACTAAAGGAACGACAAAAGGAAACTTTGTCAAGACAGACCTTGAATATTGGCCTGACAAAGCATTGTCTGGAAGTTTAAGACAGTTTGAAGTTTAGTTTGATGTTTTAAGGTTATATAAATCTTGTGTTGTTTGAATACTTTTGCAGTTTGAAGAGAGACTGGATCAGCCTTGCTAGGCTGTTGCTAAGGTGTTCTGGCTGGTTGCTAGGGGGGTGTTTGCTGCTTAGACAGACAATATAATTATGATTTAATCATATATATTACATTTCTTTAGATGTAAACTATTTATGAGTGTGACTAAATGTTAAACGGTATCTGAGTCATGTGCATTTGTTCAATTCTAATTTTTAGAATATGATGTTTGTATTGTATGTATATGTCAAATAAATGTTGATTTTCTTTATGTGAGCTGTCAAGTGTGGGATGAAGACATGCATTGGGTCATTATTTAGTATCATATTGTCTGAGGCTTTTGAAGAACAAATAATTCAAGAGCTGTGATATTGGGAATATGAAACTTTTAACAGATGTCATAATTCAAGCACTCGGGCTCATACCGTATGCAAATACTCTTACCGTCTAATGCAGTCATTGCTAGCAAACATAATTACCAGAGATGAATTATCCTATTCTTTTACGTTATTTGCCATCCGCATCAGACCTGAAATTACGAGACTATTCAGCATCACATCAAGCCGAAACAGAAAGACCAGGGACGATCTCTCACAGTTTGGAGAGATTAGTTTGACAATTCATTACCAGAGTATAGCTACTGTCGAAACATCTATCAAAAGCTAACCCTATAAAACGAGCAAACAGGCAAAGATACAAAGACAACTGGCTACAGACAACATTCCTTCTTATTACCCAATAACTCGCTGGTGAATAAATGAAGAGCAATGATTACACCAGTGACAAACTTTTGTTTGACCCTGCTGAGCTGAACAACTGCTATTCATTTGCTTTTAAGGTGGAAAAATCAAATTTCAGTCTAAGCTCAACAATATAAATATATTTAATGCATATAAACTCTATTTTTTAATACTGCAGCATCCTAACCAACGCTACATAGTGTCACATAAGGGAATACTTCAATATATTTGCACTAAATATAATTAGTTGAATAGTTGAGCTTTAGATTGCTTTTTTGGCCCACTTAAGTAGGACTTAATGACATACAGGATTTAAATATAATTTCATAATTATAAAATTCTATACTGTGATACAAGCTATGTCAATTATCATTGCATTGCAATTGTGTTTATTGTCTTCCACGTTTCATCAGTCAAAGTGTCTCTATCTGCATGTTATTCAGCTGTAGTGATATCTGATGCATTTGTCCATATAAGGGATTTCCTGGGTCTCACTTGTGAAACAGACATTAAAGTACATGAGTGTTATGGTTAGGGTTAACCCTGCTCCATAATGCTCTTATTTTGGGTAAAAATAGAAAAATAATACTTAAGTACTTTGTAACGCAGAAACTTGAGTAGTTTTTCAGCAAACTACTTTTTTACTCTTACTTGAGTCATATTATTTTTCAGTACTTTTACTTGTACTCAAGTAAATTATTCCTTAAGTAGCAATACTTTTACTTAAGTACAATTTCTTAGTACTCTTTCCACCACTAGTTAGCTGACATGTAGTTGCAAAGTTTCTTATAGTTATGTCAATACATCTGACAGATCATGAGTTTAACATAATACACATGGCGATGTTCATGTGTTTGGTCTTGGCAGAATAGATCTGCTACGCTGCTGCTGCTGCAGCGGAACAAGCATCAAAAACTGCTCCTGCCAATACATCCTCAGATATGCTGCTGTGAGAATTTAGGAAATACTGCTGCTGCACATATAACATACATGGAATTACCCCACACATATAACATATGTGAAATTACCCCAAAACAGATCTAGACAGGTGGAGCTGGGGAAGGTGGAGGGTTTCTGAAGCGCGCTGCAACTGCTACAGCAAACACTAGCTGGGTATTTGAAGGTTGGGCAGCAGCTCATTGGCTGCTGATGTGAAAAGAAACCAATCAGCTGTGCCATTTGAGTAATGATATGATTATATCAGATTGAATTAGAACCTATCGGCCTGCACCCTCTAGAGTTTCATGAAAAAACTTTGTATTTAGTATAATGTTTAAAGTGGGTGGTTCTTGACCACGATATGCTGCATTTTGGACTTTTTACAATACAAGACTGACATGTAAATGCCTGCTTGATTTGGTTTTGTCATTCTGTTGGCAAGAAATTGAAATACTCATCAATCTTCTAGCTGAAATCCCATGAGTGTCAAACTGGCTCACTGTCAGATCATTTGTGAGCGCATGCAACTGACACGCAGCGAACAATTATGTCCCATCAGTGCGGCTGGAGACAGAATATGAGAGTGAAGAACAAAAACAAAATAATAATGTCTAACCCCACTGTGATGATACACCATATCTATTCAGGATTCCTAAGAAGAAAATAATGAAATTATAACCATTAATAAAACATACGGAGGGAAGCTAAAAGCACATTCATCTGCAAAGCATAAGGGAAAATATATTGTGAAAAGACAAAGGAGAGAGTGCTGCTCATGTGTGACCACAAGGGATGAAGATTGCCTTTAATTAGTCGATTCAAGGGTATTTTTCATTTCAGCTGGTATTTGAGTGTCTAGTTAGTGTGGTGACCCTCGAGTGACCGAATCCATGCTGCTCTGGGAAGGCAGGGATGATCCTGGCCCTCAGGCCCAGGGAAGCTTTAATTGGGGTTTTCCTCTGTGATGAAGTAATGCAATTAATTCTTGTAAGCGTAAAGGCAGATGTCACAGTAATGAATTCAGGGTGTAGGTTAGTAGATGACAAATGATATGGACATGAAATTTTTATAGTGCAAGGAGTTTTGTATTCATGCTTCTCAAACAATCCATCCATCCATAAACTGTTCCTAAACTCTTTTGGATAAAATGCAGAGGGTTACTGAGCAAACCAAAATACAAAGAATTCATTGCTAATATTATTGCTTACTGGTTCACTTTCGCAAGACTGCAAACACCTATTTCCCCAGACAACACCAGCAAGACAACAAATCAATGCACATTATTATTTAACACATTGAGGCTTGTTGATTGTTTAGTTTTAACGCACTGCGCAAACTGGGAATGGATCAACTAATAGATTACACTACTACACACAGCTCAGTGAACAAACACAGTTCTAATGAGAGGAGAACAGATAGCTTAATCCACTCGGCTAATTAGCCATGCAGAAGCATAACCAGGTCCAGATGGAATCTGCAGTCATTTTCTGCATAGATTTTGTGAGAAAAGACTGCGGAATTCAGCCGAATGGGTTCAAAAAATGGTGTTAAATAGAGCTGAAAGGACTACACCCCTTATTGGTAGCTAAAAGTAATTAGCCCGAAAGATATGCAAAGGGCAGGAGATGAGAGGAACTATGTTTGAGTATGAATATGAATGATGGACATCAAAATTCTTTGGAAATCTGTGGAGTTTTGTGAATACAGATGACACGTGGGCTTGAAAATGACTCCTGAATAAGAAATATCCCTTTGCGCCACATCTTATGATTAGATTTAAATCCTGGAATCGCCCCTTGTGTGCTTAATACTGAATGTGCACTTGTAGTGTACTTCAAACCTTAAAGTATACTTTTAAAAACCTGTACTTGCAGATAATGTATTATAAATAATAAAAGCCACTTAAGTGTACTTAAGAGTACACTTTCATAATTATGTCTCACACTTTTAAAATGTGTACTTTGTAGTAATGTCAAATTAAAAGTTTTACTTTAAAGTCTTTTGTCTTTCTTAAAAGTAGTACACTTATTTTGATGCATTGCCTAACATATTAAAGCACATGTAAAGTACATGATTATAATTTCGATTATAATGATATTGCATTTAAAGTCAATATATTTTAAAACACTAAATTGTAACGTCATCCTTACAAATGTGTAATTACGAATGTATTTAAATACAGTTATGTAGAAGCATAATTTTACCACATTTCAAAGACATTAGAAGTAATAATGAAATTGCATATACAAATGTACCAAAGTCTTACATAAAAAAAATAACTCTTAAGTTCAACTAATTGCATGTAATAAACTATCAAATATTTTCATTGCCAGTTTATACTTATGTATATTCTTTGAAAATATATTATTTCTGGAATAAGCACTCTTTTTAAAAGTATGCTAAAGTGACGTTCTTTTTCACAAGGGCAGGTTTAGAGGGAGATCATGTTATCAGAAGGTTTTCTGATTAAAAACCCATTGGACAAAGTGACAGATAATGAACAAACAAGCTCACAGTGCCAGTGGAACTACTGTATGGATCATAACTTATGAGGGCAGGGAAAATGCAAAAACTCTGCTGATGCAGCCAAGAAATACACATCTCCCATTTATTAGCACTGTGCATTAACCTCTCATAACCCTTGGCTCTTTAGAGGTCCTCAGTTGAAAACTGCTGTATGACAAAGTGTCATAATACAACTTCAGAAGATACTGCCGTCTTTTCCTAATGCACGGTAAGATGAGAGGCAGCATGTGAAATTACAGTCATTGATCTCTGTCGTTACTCTATGTGTTTCTGCCGTTAAGGGGGATGCATTATTTAGTGGTCGACCACAACCGGAGTCAGTCTGTTTCGTAATGAAGCTCTGGAGTATTAATGCACGTGTGAGAGAGTAAACTAGAACAATTTCTGTGCTGTAGACCTTAATGAGAAAGAGAGTTTGTATAACTCATTCTGGGAGCAGTAAATTGTACATTAGATTTGCTCTTCCAGTAAGGTACTGTCTAGGGTTTCTGAATGAGCAGAGTAAACCCAACCACATTAGCGCCCATACTTTATGGCTTTTTTTGTAAGCTAGTATCTAATAATAATGATGAAACACACTTCTTCCGTTCAGTGCAGATCCCTACAGAGATGATTTTGCTTTTTTAATATGGACGGTGTTCAGTTTGGACTAACAAATCAAGCAGAAAATGTACTAGAGGTTTCAGTTTCCCAAAAGCATTGTTAGCCAGGTAGCAAGTTCTGTCGGTACCAACATAGTTCAACAATACTGTGTTTCAATGAACACTCACAAGTAGCATGGGAAAGTTATGCGGTTGGAACTACAACTCTCGACCTGTGGTTAAAAGAATAGTTTCTTGTTGATAGCAGTAGTTCTAGCACCACGGGAGAACCATAAGGCAACTCGGTCCTGGAGGGCCATTGCCCTGCTGAGTTTAGCTCCAAACCCGATTAAACATACCTGAACCAACAAATCAAGCTTCAAGGCAGGTGTTTTGGAGCTTGTTGGAGGTAAACTCTGCAGGACAGCAGCCCTCTAGGACCGAGTTTGTACACCTCTGCCAGAAGAAACCTTCAAAATAATGGCGAATAAAAACAACGAAGCAGTCCTCAGGTGCCATGTTTGTTATTTACAGCAATGATCTGACATTCAAACCCGAACTGGGCTGTGTTTCCCCTACAATGATGTAACTCGCTGCTTAATTAGCATACACAATGCACCCAGTGCTTAATTTGAGCCGGATCCTGTTCCGGAAAATGTCAGATTTTGGATTTT